TTTTTTTAGGATAAGCAGCTCAGAACTAGCCAGGAAAGCCAGCGGAGAGATTTGTTCCCAGCAAAGCTCTGGCCTTAAGTAGCAAGCTGGCAGCGTGGCTCGTATCTGCATTTGTGTTTTTTTTTTTTCCTTTTTCTCCGTGACTGATTCTCTCGCTTTCAGAGGCTTTAAAAAATTCATAATGGGGAGAGAGGGTTGTGTGTGTGTGTGTTTGTGTGTGTGCAGAAGGCTGAATTCTTCCCTTTTGGACCAAACCCTGAATTGGAAACGAGGAGGAGCGGAGAGCCAAAGGCAGAGGAGAATCTTGATGCGTTGGGAAGTTTCTAGTCCCTAGGATCTCACGGGATGAAAATCTACGGTGCCAAACTGGCCAATCAATGGCCTTTCTCTTCCTCCCCACCACCACCCCCCCCCCCCCAGCTGATCAACCCCGAGGAGCCTTACTTGGCAAAATTGGCCAGGTTTTGGGTGACCTTGGCGATGAGAGTCAGCGTCCGGGCAGTGCGGTCGTCCGGGTACTCCTGGAGCAGGTTGAAGAGGGAGGGCGACATGATGGCCGGGCAGAGGAAGCGGAGGAAGAGGGAGGCGCTGATCAGGCGCTCGCTGATGTCCGGCCGGCCGCGACTGCTGCACTCTTGGCGCCACGAGGCGAAGACCTCCTTCAGCTCCCGGGGGAAGACGCTGCGGAGAGAGGGAGGCTGGTTCCAGAGAGGCTTGGTGGGTGCCCAACGTCCCTGTCTAGGTGTTAAGGCCCCGGGCATATGGAGGGCACTGCCACCTGGCATCTCTCCCGAAATAAAGCTGAGTGGCAAAACATAGCTGGGTGAGGAAATGTGGAAGTTTCAGCCCACAAGTTTGGGCTTCCAGCTCTCCGGAGATGCTCGGCTCCTCCAGCTCTGGTGGTTTGGCCACAGGAAAAGCTCTTAAGAGCCCAAGAGCGAGCCAGGCTGATTTCCCCACTCAGTTGGCCATCTCCTGGCTGTTTTGTGTTCCTCTCTCTCCTCCCGCCCCCATCCGTGGCCAAGGAAGGAAATACAGCCAGCAGTCTTAAGGGGGATTGGAGGGGTGGACAGAGCAGGCCTCCTGGGACTCTGACTGCCCTCCAAACTCTCTGGGGTCCTCGACATAAAGCAAGCTCCTCTCCTCTTCCCCCCACCCCAAGCAAACTCTGGCACCCACCTACCAGTACGAGTTAATGATCTTGCAGAAGGCCAGTTCGCAGCACATCTTCAGGTTGCTCTGGTGCTCCAGGAGATCCGAGGAGGAGCACTTGCTGGGATCCACCTCGCAGTTTTCATCCGATTCGTACAGGGCCTTGATGAACTCGCCTGCGAGCGCAGGAAGGAAAAGAAGGGAAGACAGTGATAAGAGCCCCTTCCCTCCCAGATTCTGGGGGAGCCCAAAGAAAGAAAGTGAAGGGGCTTCTTGGAAGCTCCACCCCGGGGGCAAATCAAGTTACGGGTCCTCATGACTGCCAATCTCGAGAGGGGAACGGGAGAGGGTGGTGATGTAAAGTCGCTGCGGAGCTCCTTCCGGTGACAGGTTCCCTGCGCAAAAGCCCCCCCCCCCCACCCCCCCATGCCCCCAAATCACACACCTCCATTTCATGGGTTATTTGCTGCCCCCCACCTGCTCCTGCCTCCCCCTCCAGAAACTGGCTTTGCCATCTCAGCTTATAGGGAGGAGATCCCAAGGAAGACGAGCCAGAAGCTGTGCAGACAAAGCAGCCAAGGACCACCTGCCTTTCTGGCACTTCCTGGCTCAAAGCAGGTTGTGAGGAAGCCCCAATGGAGAGGAGGGGAAGGCAGGGCCCAGCACACACACACACACACACACACACACACACCAGCCTTACCTAAGGCATCCTGCAGGTACTTCTGGCCCACCAGCTTCAGGTACTCCTCAATGGCTTTGGTGGCCAGTGTGTTTTCTCGGAAGATCAGGTGCTCGTTCTCCCCGCAGCGGTCGACTTCGGCCATCATGAGGTCCGTCAGGAAGTCCTGGGAAGGAGAAAGGCCCATTGGGGTGGGAAAGTGCCGGGCCCAATGGGCGGTAGGGGAAGGGCCGGGCACATTCACCCTCTCCCTCCCTCCCTGCCTGCCTGGAAGGCCTCTCAACACCCCCGGGTTTCAAATTGCTTTCATTTCCTGGCTTGCAAATCCTTGGGCTTCTTCTCCCTTCCTGTCTGTTTTTGCCCACAATCCTGGTTGCTTTGGGGTGTTGGAGGATTGCTTTGCTGGTGGACTGATGTCCTGGGAAACCACTCCTCCTACTCACACATACCCACGCACACCCATACCCACACCCAACCTATATCAAGGCCAAAGAAAGGATGGACCTCTGCATCATGGCATCCCTGCTTGTCACATATTTGGGGGAGGGCAGCAGCCCCCAAACTCTTCGCAGCTGTCCTGACCCAGGCTTTGTCAAATGTACTTAAAGTCAAACTTATCTTAAAAGCAAAAACTATTTTATTGCAATGCTGGGAATAACTTGCGTTCCCAGCCAGAACTAATTATAAACAGTTCCCCAAGATAAGCACACTCCTTTCAGTGCTGTGGAATGTTGCCAAAAACAGAAGTATAACAGAACCCAACCAAAGTACCAGAAAAAACTAACTAGAGTACACAGAGCTTCAAGGAGGGCTCGGAATCTAATTGAACTGCTTTGCTTCCTGCAAAGCTTTCGTCATTGAGGTTTGACTTTTATCCCTTAGGGGAGGGGCAATCACCTCCCACACTTTCTCCAGAGTCGCCCCTTCTGTTTCAGCTGCTCTCGCCTTCTGGCAGCTCGGTGCATACACACCCTGGAAACAGGCTCCCCTTGTTGTCCCTGCATTGGACCCTCATATGAGTCCACTCCAGACTCCCTGACTGGTCCCCTTTCTTCCTCACTGTCCAATTCCACTGCCGGCTGCACCGGCTGCCAGCAAACCACAACAGCAGCCTCCCTCCCTAGTTCAGTTTTGGCTGGGCTGGAAACTGCCTCCTCCTCCTCCTCCTCCTCCTCCTCCTCCTCCTCCTCCTCCTCCTCCTCCAGGTGTGTGTGTGTGTGTGTGTGTGTGTGAAGGTGGATGGTAAGTGCTTGATGAGCCCTGTCCTCTCTCTGCCTCTCCTCTCCTTCACCCGCTCGTCCCCAAGTAATTCTGCAAAGACATGAGTGTGAGGGTGTGGGGGTGTCTCACAGCAACACTTTCCCCTTTGGGGGCTCAGAGCTTTGCAGACTTGGCAGATTTTACGAGCATCCTCGGAGCTATTAGGACCAAGAGGGGTTATGAGCCCTGAAAGCAGCAGAGCCCACGGCTGGCTGGCAGCAGCTGCGTCTTTGCCCCCCTCCCCAAAACATTATCTGGTTCCTGATGCGGTTGGTTTGCCCCAGGCCGCCTGTTTCTCTGTGTCAGCAAATGCCAGCCATCTCCCCTAGACTGCCAAGCACCCCCAGGAGAGGGGGCAGCCTGTTTCTGTGGAGTGAAGCTCCCTGGGGTAGTGCCGCCCGCTGGGAATATCTTGAGGGGTGGAGGGAGAGTAAGGAACCCTGCCACTGACCTGCCTGGAACTCCAGGGCCCATCAACCTAATCCATGCATTGGCTCCAATATGTTACAATGTCAAGCTCTCCCCTCAAAGCCATTCGGAGCCCCCGTATGCTAAGGCAATCTACCTGAGTAGCAGCTTCACCCAGAACAGCAGCAACCGCAAAGCACTTTGCGTGCATTTCATGTCAAGGGGAAGACCAGGATGGGCGATGCACCTGCCTGCAGCCGCTTCAGGGATCCCAGGCAAAGGGCTTCTTTGGGGGCCAGATTGACGTGAGGGTGGGTGGGGGATACATGTGCTAACTCCTTGGCCGCCACTCACGCCTCTCAGAAGAGCCGATTACTCCCCGATTACTCCCGAAAGGAGGACCTTCACTGCGCTCGTAAAATTGATTAAAGCCGTAATTAGCTGGACTAACAACTCTTGTAAGAAATATTGGCCAATCCCCCTCCTCGCTCTGAGAGGAGGGGGCTGAGCGGAAGGCCTGTGGGATTTACAACTGGCCAGCAAATTCTAGCGCTCTCCGCGATGTAAACAAGGCGGAGGGAGGCTCGTATGGGTTGGCTATCCAATCCATCGATGGGGAGGGGGATCCTGAGAACATACATGCCTCCTCCAAGCACCCAGGGCCACTTGCTTGGAAGGGGAGCCTGGCAGAACTGGCAGGAGGAACAGCCAGTAGAGATCTGGGTGGCTGAGAGCAGAGGCAAGGCAAGAAATCCAGAGGAGCCCGCTCTCTAAGCAGCCCATCCTGCAGGGGCTGATGGGCTACCTCATCCTTCCTGGGGTGGAAAGGGGAGGGGGGTGTTTACTTTACTTTATTGTCATTGCACCTCGTACGCTGAAACCAAACACCGTCTTCAGGGCACATCGTGAAAATAACAGGAAAATAAACACAAACACACATCCTTCACACCACATCGAACTGGCAACCCCCGACACCACACCAACACTGCACTATACAGCAGAATTCAACAGAGCTACTGCCCTGGGATAGAAGCTGTTTTTCAGCTTATTTGTCCTTGTTTTTCTTATCATCCTGTACTGTCTGCCAGAGGGTAATAGTTCAAAAAAAGTGTGGGGGGGGGTTCCCAGGATGAGATGGATCTTTGAGGATGTTTTGAACTTTCTTAAGGTAGCGGGAGTTATAAAGCTCTTCCAAAGAGGGGAGAGGGAAACCCATGATCCTCTGGGCAGAGACGTTGTCCCAGGAACAGTAGTCCAGATAGCACACCATAAGGAAGTGGGGAACAAAAACTCACACCGACCTGCCAAGACCTTCCCACCCTTCCAGGCTGCCTTTTTTTTTTATGGGCACAGCAGTTCTGTGACAATTTAATTCAACCTTTCGAAGTCAAAATGATTCAGGGGCAAGTGACAGTTTGTCGACACAAAGGATCAGTTGCCCAAGCTAGGCCAGAGCTGGGTTCGACTCCCTGAACCAAAGTCATGCCCTGTTCCCCGTGGGAGCGGGTGAGGCCTCCCTGTCCTTACCTTGGCTTTTCCTGTGCTCTGCAGGATGTGGACCAAGGCCGAGGCCATCTCCTCCTTGTTCTTGACACTCAGCAGGGGCTCCAGCACGGAGCAGAGAACCATGTAGTTGTTGGTGATGTACTCCGCAAACTCCTTGTACGTTTCCATGGGGAGCACGCTCATGCTCTGGTAGCGTGACTTGATGCGGATCATGGGCCCCCCGGATTTGCCCTTGCTGGGGTTGGGCGTCACGACCGGGTACCACTTCTCCACGAACTGGCGCCCCGTGACAGAGCCAGCTGGGATGCTGACCAGCCCAATGAAGTTGGTCTTGTCTTTCTTCTTCTTCTTGTCCGTCTCCTTGTACAGGTGGACGGCGATACTCCGCAGTGGCGGGAGGTTGTTGAATTCAAAGTGCTCTCCCCAGAAGACATTGTCCGTTTTCAGCTTGCAGGTGGTGCGGGCGTAGAGTGCCTCGTCCAGGCAGAGTTCGCACAGGTAGCGCTTCTTTGCGGGCAGTTCTTTGGCTTCGATAATCCACAGCTGGAGCATGTTCTCCACTCGCCGACTGTTGTCCTGGGAAGGAGATGCAAAACAAGCGATGATGGGCTTACCTCCACATAGATACATAAAGGGATCTCGTCAGGCCAACGATTTGTACCCTTGAGAATTTTTAGCCACGTCCCTAACAAAACAACTTCTGGATAATATCCAGTAAACCCTTGGTTGAGCAAACTTCAGATACATCCGAGAAATGTCCCAATTGTGTCAAGACACCTTGTGCAAATAATGCCATTTACATCAATTATATATGGGTAGACTAAACCAATGGTGTACATTTGTATTTAACAGATGTTTGGATTTAAGAGATGGTTGCATTTAACAGACATTTGGATTTAACGGACACTTGGATTTAACGGACTCTTAGATTTAACAGACACGAACCTTTTCCAAAGCATTCAGTGAACTGACATTCTACCAGACTACGGGATCTGTTATCCCCGCTAAACTTCTCCCTTAAAGGGAGTTGAAAAACTGGGGAGAAACAAACAAAGGTACATCTTGCCAAAGACCTTCCCCAACACTACCTTGTTCGGGTGCACGGCTCGCCGCAGATTCTCCATCCATTTGTCCCGTTCTGCTGCAGACCGGCAGGAAAAGCATTTGCTCCCAGACGATGTTGTCACCTGGGAGAGAAGAGAGAGATGATGGCCATGGGGGTCTCCGGGCAAGCAAGCAAAAGCAAAGACCCTCAGATCCTCAGTGATTAAATACTGATGTCAAGCTTGGGCCAATGGGGCCCAATGTTCGGGAAGCACTGTCAAAAATCAGCCACCTTTCCCGATTCTACCCTCATGAAGTTGATACTGAGGTAGGCTGCCTCTAGCTGTGGAGGTTTCATCCTTCGTCTCCTGAGCGCATCATAAAACCAAGCAGGACCCACACCTGGTTCTGCCTTCTGCTTTCCATCCAGCAGCGCTCCGTCTCCCTCCCGGCCGCCACTGTACCCAACCCCAGCTTGCCCCTCACCTCGAAGCAGAAATCCTGGCCGAGGATGCTGCTGTGCACAGGCTTGATGACCACTTCCTCCTCCATGCTGAGGTCCAGGGCTTCCACCGCGCTACCAGGGCTGAGCAGTGACTCGTGGGAACGCGACTCCTTCAGCCTCGGCATTAGATGGGATCTGTGGGTGGCAGGGAGGAAGAGAAAGGGGACTGAGAAGAGCCTCCAGCACTCAGCATCTCCAGCGGCCCCCTCAGGATTGCAAAGATGGTTTCTCCCCATCCAAACACCCCCAAGACCCACTGTGCAGCAGAGTCCGCCCGGCCAGCAGGGAAGGAGCCGCGACTACTGAGATAGACTTCCTTCAATCACCCACCCACCGGCTCTCGGGCGACCGAGAGTCCACCTGCAGCGGAAACCGAAGGAAAAATCTGAACAAAGGAAAGGAGGCAATGCTGGGAATTCAGAAAGCAACGGAGCAACAGCAGGGTGGCCCCGAGCGAGCGGAGGAAACCTGGGGGGGGGCGCACTGGAGGGGGCAGTGGGATGGGAGGAAGGAGAACTGGGCTGGCAGGAAAAGGAGTCTGTGGGGCTGGGCTGGATTAGCGGGGATCTCCTGCAGGAGTGGGGGGGCAGCCATGCTATGACAAGTCTGACCAGGGGCCGATCTTGGCATCTCCAGAGAAGCAGAGTGGGATCTGGGGCTCACTTAGAGGTCCCCCCTCCCCAGACTCTCGGCTCAGAGGTTGGAGACTCCTTTGTGAAGGTTCTGGATGGGAAGCAGGAGGGCTGGGGTGGTCCAGAGGGCAAGGAAGCTATCTGTAGGACAGTGTGAGCAAGAGAGTGGAGGGAGGAAGAATAGCTATTGTTGGACTGGGAGGAAGCAGGGGGAGGGGGGGGAAGCTGGGGGTGGGGGGAGCTCAGCAGGGTGGGAGGAGGGATCAAATGGGAAGGCCCTCCAGGAGGAACCTTTTGTGACAAACACATGTTGTTAAAGGCGTCATGAGCTGCGTTTGAATGCAACCAGATCTCCTGGTTCTTTTGGTGCCCAGACGAAAACGGCTGCTTTCCTCTACGGGATCCATTCCAGATCTATCTATCTATCTATCTATCTATCTATCTATCTATCTATCTATCTATCTATCTATCTATCTAATCTATCTATCTATCTATCTAT